GTAAAATGTTAAGATGGACAGTATAGTACTAAGCAACATTAAAAAAGAAAAAGTTCATGTTACGCTAATATTTATAAACTACTGTAAACAATCAAATCGCTTTTTATTTACATATTAATGGGGTTTACGAGTATTGCCTACTCACTTATCCACAACTTAGTTCAATCTTTTTATAATTTAAAGTGTCTACTATACGATTTAACCACATTTAGTCCTTGCTTGGTTTAGATAAAAATTAGATTCTAGTAGATTCTGATAAAATTTGATGAAATATGTGGTTGAAAAGTTGCGGGATTCATGAAATGTATAGTTAAAATTAATTCTGGACTTTGAATAAAATTTTAATCCAATTTTATATCTGAACAAAGAGGAGCTTAATATTGTTTGCTAACTATACCATTAAGCTCATGTTTGTCTCTCATTCTTTCAAAACTATTTTTCTACATATTCACTTTCAAACACACATTCACACAATAAATTATTCTACACATAAATCAAAAAAAAAAAATTACTTTTTAACCATACATTCTCCAAAAATTCACTATTCAAAACAATTTTTCCAAAAAAATGGCCATCAAACATGGGCTAGATATGTCATTTCATAAGGCATAAGGGAGATGAAGAGGTAAATTGCACAAAACGTTCCAATTTTTCACTATTATTGTGCAAGACATTCATACATTCTATTTTTTTACATTTTCACCCTTCCTTAATTACACAATTAATTTCATGAAACGTCCTTCCGTCCATTTTCATCCAGACTCATCGTTAAGTGAATGCGTGAAGTCATTTTTTTTACCTCCTCCATCCTCTTCTCCAATTTTTCCCCTCCCCAATCATCTTCTTCCTAAAGTTCGAAACCAACCAGTTTTGGGCAACCCAGTCCTCGGGCTGTAGTGTGTATTCCTTGCTAATTTGAAAATTCCAACTCATGGATGCCATAATGAATGTTAATATGGAGAACTTCAGGTCTGACTAGGTAGGTGTCATATGTGGCTTGTTTTTAGATGTCCAAGTTTGTTCATCTGGAGCAGTCAGCATTCACCGGTTGAAAAAAAAAAATAACTGCAAACAAGCACATTCAGATTGGTGCCTGTTGGGCTTCGATGGACCATGAGTTTCATAAATTGTTTGAAAATTCACAAAACCACTTTTGGGTTGTCAATAGGTGTAACTGGATCAGTTATCTCTATTTAGCTGTTGATCTCTTAGGACCTTTTCTAGCCTGTTGAATTGGTAAAGACATGCATTTTCAGTCCTTCCTCTCTTGAATTCTTCAGTGCAGTCGTTCAAACCCAAAGCTTCAAGCTTTCAATACAGATTCCTCTTGAGCGCAGTCGTTCAATACGTAATGAGCTAAGAGCTCGAGGAAGAAGATGAGGGAGGAGGGTGAAATTGGGAAAGAAGATGGGGAAGGTAAAAAAATGAGCTAAGAGCTGGAGGAAAAAGATGAGGGAAGAGGGTGACATTGGGAAAGAAGATGGGGAAGTTAAAAAAATGTTATAAGACAAAAATACCCTTCCATTTTGGAAAAAAAATGACTCCACGCATTCACTTAACGGCGGATTTGGATGAATATGAATGGAGGACGTTTTGCGCAATCAAATGTGTAATTAAAGGTAAACATATCAAAAAGGGAAGGTAAGAGAGTTTTGCATGATAAAGATGAAAGGTGTAGACATTTTGTACTATTTACCCACAAATAAAGGCATGTTCTTCTTGTACCATACACTATTCATGGGCATGTCTTTCTTATTTACATCCGTGATAAAGGACTTTTGATTGTGGTCCTTACATTGCCAACCTAACAAAATGACCAAATACGAGAAGTCGCAATCAAGAAATAAATTTGAATGTACAATGAACATTTGAATTTACAATGAACGTTTATTTCGTGTTGAGTAGAGTTTGTTGTCAAAATTCTCAATTCATGAATTGAAGGGCTGAATTCGATACGGTATCTTTACAAAATTTTAATATTGTTTATCAATTGGTGCACCTAATGTTTCGAGGTTACCACAAAGTTCAAACGTAGTTAACTCTTAAGTACACAAATGTTTAGTGAATTTTGGTTGGATGAGCGCATCATGCATCCATAGTGTGCATTAGTGTTCACATGGTGGTTTTCCATCCATTATTTATAGAGTTTGTAATATATTGTCTCTAGAGTTTGGTTAGAAGCTGTTGTTTAGAAACCTTAATTATATTTAACCGAGAGAAATCGATTAGCAAAAAATAAATAAAAAATAAACACACAAGTTATAGAAGTTCGTCTCAATTTGAAAATGTCACATTCTGATGATAGAGTAATTCATTATGATGAAAAAGAAGTTTGCAATATAAAATTGAACACCTAACTTCTCTTTTATGATGGTAGTCTAAAAGTCTAATGACGGCTCCTTATTTATAAGATAAATTAGGATAAAAAAAAAGAAATTTACAAGGCCAAAAATTCATAAGATGACATTTACAATTACACAAATTCATAAATTGC